ATCCTATTGTGATGACAGTTGCTCAACTTTATTAATTTGCTAAAATATCATTGAAATGGTGAATTTTACATATAAAATACACCTCAATGAAGCTGTTTAAAAAAAAGAAAGAAAAATCACTATCATCAGCTACAATCTTTGCAAAGCCCTACTCCTGATTAGAGAAGTAGAAGTAGTTACTCCTGCAGTGTTGCCTCCAGGGTAACATGTAAACAGCTCTCTCTGGCATTCAGGGCCCTTTACGTGTCTGGCCTCATCACCTGGCCAATGTTCCCCAACATCCCAGTCTGTGTGGCTACCACGCACATAAGTGATGGAGTTGGAACATCTGAGCTTCCAGCTCTACCACTAACTCACTGTGACCTTGGGTTACTTCACCGCCTTGAAACTGTTTCCTCACCTCTGAGAGAGGGATGATAATATCTCAGGTCAGCGTGGGCAATATCTGAGATACTGCTCCTAAAACACTCAGCAAAGAGTAAATATGTGCACTTCTCCTGGCTGGCTCAGGCACATCTTCCAAGTCACCTCCTCAGAGCAGCATTAACTATCACACCTTGAGCAGGTGGCCCCATTACTCTTTGCATCCTTTGTTTCCTTCATAGCACTTGCAGTTTTTTTATTCCTTTGCCTCTTTTTTCTCTCTTTCTTTTGGTCTGTCCTCCCTACTGGGCTGAGGTCTCCATGAAGGCAGGGACCTTATGCTTTGTCCCTTATTGTCTCTGCAAACCCAGGCCCAATGTCTGGCAAGTCACACATTCACAGCAAGCAGTTTACTGAGGTGATGAATAGGCAATAGCTATGGGTGCGATGCTCAGCATGTGGCGTCTCTGGTTTTGGCACGGTTGGGAACTGTTTCTTGTGTGCCTAACTACACCCTCCTTGATCTTCCCCTCAGTGGCCCAGACTCACCTCACAGGAGCAATAAATGATAGTAGAGGTGATATAGCCAGGAGGGTGCAATGAGCCTGGGGACACACCTGACACAGCAGGCTGGGGAAGTAACTAGGGAAGAGCCACCTAGCGGTTGGAAGGGAAATGGCTGAAGACAGGGAGGAGTCTGGATGTGGAGGAGCAACCATTTCAGTTGAATCCCCAACATGGCTGCTCACCGGGGCAGAGAACAGGCAGTGGGCAGACACAGGGCATGGCTGCCACGTGTGCCTTCTTTTCTTATTGGAGGGTGGGGTTAAACATACTGGTTGAAATGCAATCTTTATGTATTTCACACATGCTTGCTCTGAAAATGAGTTGAATATAATTGCAGCACTTTGTATTAAATTTTTTACCTTCCAAGGAAACAGGGCTGGAATTCACCATGTAAATTTATGCAAGTAAGTGTGCAAACTAGCAAGGCCCTAGCATTTCATTTTAAGGGAACTAGAGCACTTTCCAGGCCCAGGCCCAGGCCCAGGGGGTTAAACACAAGTGGTCTTTATGAATATTTAACTTTCTCTGAAGGAGCAGGGGCAGATATTCCTTGGCATCTACCTCTATTAAATTAACTTCTTGTTGTGTTCATCCAATGATCTCTTCTACTGATTTTTACTCACCTGCCTAATAACAAAGTGGACTCCCCAACCCTCAAGTAACTTTGCGAACAAAAAAGTCATTACATACACCAAAACACTTCATTGCTGTCACCTCCTTTTCTCTGATCTCCAGGAACATAAGCAGGAGGGAGAGAGAAGGAAAGGGGGGG